CCCCGCAGCTGGTCAGCCACCCCCAAATCATGAGCCCCCCCCTCCAGGAATCTGGGGGTAACCTCACTCCCCACATCTGGGCAGCACCCCCAAATCATGAACCCCCCTCCAGTAATCTGGGGGTAACCTCACACTCAACCCCCCACATCTGGGCAGCCCCCCCAAATCATGAGCCCCCCTCCAGTAATCTGGGGGTAACCTCACCCCCCCCATATCTGGGCAGCACCCCCAAATCATGAACCCCCCCTCCAGTAATATGGGGGTAACCTCACCGCCCACATATGGGCAGCACCCCCAAACCATGAGCCCCCCCCTCCAGTAATCTGGGGGTAACCTCACACCCAACCTCTCCACACATCTGGGCAGCCCCACAAATCAGGACCCTCTCTCCAATAATCCAGGGCAACCCCCTCCATCCAAACCTCACACACCTTTAGGACAGACCCCCAAAATCAGGACCTCCTTGCTAATAATCCAGGTTGACCCTCCCAAACATCACAAACACATCAGGGTAGCCCCCTCAAACCCTGACTCCCTCCTCCAATAGTCTGGGGTGACCTCATGCCCAAACCTTCGTGCACACATCAACCCCACCCCACCCCCAAAAACTTGGATTCTTCTTCCCCAACAATCCTGGGTAGCCTATCCAGGCAGCCACCCCAAAACCTGACTCTCTTCAACAAAGCAGGCAAACCCTCTCTCCCTCTCTCACTCACCCCAATCCAGGGGCAACACCTACACTCAAATCCTGAGCAGCGCATCCCTGAGAATCCAGGGACATGACCCCACTCAAATTATAAGAACTGCTCACCAACAATGCAGAAGGTAAAATCCCGCCCCCAAATTCTGACATCCCCCCCCTTTCCCCAGCAGTCCAGGGGCAAAATCCCAAATCTTGACACCACCCCTCAGACAACAGAGGTCAATTCCTACCCCCTGCCCCCCAAAAGATCTTGCTAATCTACCTGCTCCTAAAATCTGATCCCTGCAGTCAGGGGACAATTTCCCACCAAAATCCTGATAATCCCAGAACAACATTGCCCACCCTGCGTACACATTCTGTCATTCCCACTTCTTCAAAAGTCCAAGGGCAAAGCCACTTTCATTCATCTCCCGATTATCATTCCCACACCAAATAGGGGAAAATCCCCTGACTAATTCTGACACCCTTCCCCTTCACTCCACAAAACACACGGGCAAAGTCCTGACATTTACTTTTCCCCTACAAAACCCCACCCAAATCCTGGCAACTCCCTTTAACTTGGCCATTTTTGCCCTCCTTCCAACTGTCAAAGGCCATCCCCACCTCAAATCCTGTCAGTCTACCCCCCATGCCAATTCTGGGGCAAACTCCTACCAATAACCTCCCCCATGCCTCCACTGGGCTAAGGACAACCCACCACACAAGTCCTGACAGTCGTTCCAACCCTCCTGTCAGCCGCATGGCAACAAAATATACCCCCCCATACCAATCCCCCCTTCACTCAAGTTATACCAAAAGCATGTTGCTTCTGCATTGGGAAAGCGGAGCTGAATATTTGTAATGGCACTGAGATAAATTCGTAGCCAGGAGGCGATGCCATCCCGTTCGCCAGTGAAGAGATGGAAATGTTGGAGCCAGAAGATTCCATGGCAGTTGGGGTTGGGCCATTGGAAGGGGCAATTGGGAATGGGTCATAAGGACATGAGTCTGGGTCAATATGGGGTGATTATTTTTAATGGCACTTGAGAGAGATTCTTGTCCTCTCCCCTGCAAACAGTGCAGAGGAGGACTGCGATGAGGGTCGCTCTTCAGTCCATGAAGGGACTGGAATGAAGATGTTCTGTGGTGCTGTGACAATCATTGAACAGAGGGTTACTAGGCAGCTGATGAAACACAGGAGAGGAACAGTGTCATGGGATTGAAACTGAGGTGAAAAAGGAGGAAACCAACTGAGTCAGGAAGAAAGGGGGAGCAGAGAAAGAAAAGCAGCCAGTGAAATGCACCTGAAGACAGGGTGTGCGCCTGACTATTCTATCTCACTGCCCTGGAAGTGCGTGGCTCTTAGCTATGGTTTCGGAGATACCCTCACAGCACTGAGATCAGGAGTGACTGTAGCTGGAATTGTTCCCATAGCAATCTGCCTTCTAGTATTTAGAACATCACTTTTCCTTGAACAAGGGCTAGTTCCTGAAGAAAACGCCAGTTCGCATCATACGTTGCCCTGCAGCAGGACCAATGTGCTTCAACATCTCCCTATGGATGCCAGTTGTCATTCTCCATTCACCAGGTGAGTAAAAGGGTGAGGGTTGAACAGCAATGAATGGAGAAGAAAACTGCTGAAACATGCCCCAACTCCAGACTCACTAGAATCAATGCTCTGGAGATCCATAATTAAGCAGACTCTTTAGTATAAGAGTTAGACACATCAGGGCATTAATGATGTGCAAGTTAAGAGAACCTAACATATCCTTCAGGGTCTTGTTGCGGTTATAATATGGCTTTTCAGTTATACAGCACATTTAATTTTCTTTAATCCTCAATAAAACCAATCGTTGTTTCTATTTATTGGTAAACTATCCTTCCACTATGGTAAATAATTTACAGTGGAAGAGTAAAAGGAATCAATGGATTAATAAAATATCTTGTTTTACAATATTTTTTGGTTGTAACTCCTTTCCAGCCCTCTGGCATTTTCTGCTTCGGAGCTCATGTCCTCCCAACTCAGCAGCCAGATTCCCAACGCCTCACAAGATCATTGGACTCTGGTGGCACCTGGGAGTGGGTAACAAAGCCTGACACAATGTTATTGTCTGTTTCCTTTCCACTTGCCATTATGTTCACTCTGAGGTTTGTACACTGCCCACCTGCCTGCTCTGGATCAGAACACTGTCAACCTGCAATTTCTATTTGAAAAATTTGGCCCAGAGTTTAGTGCTCCTGATTAAACTTTCTTGAAAGAATACAGTTTTAAATGGCCCAGACATCCTCAAAAACTAGGGCTGCAGTGGTCTTGGTACCTTGGAAACCATTCTGAATGCAGCATTTGCTTTAGCTGTTTGAGCATCCAGATCCCTGGGCTTGAGTATATTAAGATTATTCTAGATGCATATTCATTATAACTTTGTGTCCCCTTCCATGAAGTTGGAGTCACATGACTCCCACATGCTGTCTCCTTATACGTGAAGGTTAGATCACAAAGTGAATTGACATGGGGGTGGGGGGAGGGCACACAAGATCCATCTTCTGCTTTCTGTGCCCAAAACAGTTGGTGAGTCAAATGGATCCTACTGCTCTCATAGACTCATAGACTATCAGAGTTGGAAGGGACCTCAGAAGATCATCTGGCTGATTCCAGATGCTTCCGGGCTCCCTCTGACTGTGGGGCCTGGATCCCAGAGAACTTTCTCTATCTGCACTCTTCAGGCCTTCAGAGGTGGCTGGAGCAAAGGTTTCTGATTATGTTCTCTTAATATTCCTTATTCTCCGAGTATGCTCCTAGTGATGGCAGGTCAGTGCAAGACCCTTTGCCCTGTGGTCTTCCAAGGTCATTTATTTGTCATGATTCTGAAAAGTAATTCATTATGTACAGGTTTCAGAGTAGCAGCCGGGTTAGTCTGTATTCGCAAAAAGAAAAGGAGGACTTGTGGCACCTTAGAGACTAACCAATTTATTGAAGTGAGCTGTAGCTCACGAAAGCTCATGCTCAAATAAATTGGTTAGTCTCTGAGGTGCCACAAACCCTCCTTTTCATTAAGTACTGGCACTGTACACTATGGTAAGAGGTAGGCTATTTTTTTAATATGAATTTTCAGTTGGATGCTGGAAGGTCACATTTCATCAGTGGTAGCCATAGACTCTATGTCTTATTGTATCCTCTGAGCCTGAGTCAGGATTTCTCATTAACTTTTTGGCTTTACCATTAGGGGGCAGACCTGAATCATATTAAAAGCAGAAGTGCTTCCTCCTGCATTTGACTGGAAGAAGGGTCAGGAGATGGGGACGATCATTTCATCCATTTAAAATGGGAGAACATAGGTGGGCAAAATTATTCACGCACGGAAACTTTGGCAAATAAATGTAGTTACTCCTTACAATCAGAGCTAGGATTGCTAGCCCTCCAGGATTGTCCTGGAGTCTCCAGGAATTAAAGATGAATCTATAATTAAAGATTACGTCATGTGATGAAACCTCCAACCAAAACTGGCAACCCTAATCAGAGCATCTGCAATATAACGAATGTCTCCTCTTGCCCAGTCTTGAGGAAGAGCTCTGTGTAGCTCAAAAGCTTGGCTCTCTCACCAACAGAAGTTGGTCCAATAAAAGATATTGTCTCATTCACCTTGTCTCTTGTCTGTTATATGTAACCTATCATTTAAATCAGCTTCTGTACCAGATGACTGGAGGATAGCTAATGTGACACCAATTTTTTAAAAATGCTCCAGAGGCTATCCAATTACAGGCCAGTAAGCCTAACTTCAGTTCCGGGCAAATTGGTTGAAACTACAGCAAAGAACAGATACATAGATGAACATGATTTGTTGGGGAAGAGTCAACATGGTTTTTGTAAAGGGAAATCATGCCTCACCAATCTACTAGAACTCCTTGAGGGGGTCAACAAACATGTGGACAAGGGTGATCCAGTGGATATAGTGTACGTAGATTTTCTGAAAGCCTTTGACAAGATCCCTCACCAAAGGCTCTCAAGCAAAGTAAGCTGTCATGGGTTAAGAGGGAAGGTCCTCTCATGGATCAGTAACTGAGTAAAAGATAGAAGACAAGGTGTAGGAATAAATAGTCAGTTTTCACAATGGAGAGAGATAAATAGCGGGGTTCTCCAAGAATCTGTACTGGGACCTGTGCTGTTCATCATATTCATAAATGATCTGGAAAAGTGAGGTGGCAAAACTCAACTATTTTCAGTAATTTGGAATCATCTTCAAGTCCAAAGCTGACTGAAGAGTTGCAAAGGGATCTCATGTGACATCTCCAGCAAAACAGACTGTGACACAACAGCACATTTCACAACCATGACATGGGTTTGGAAGACTTTATTTGACACCTTTTGCTGGATGTCTGACAGCTCACAATGTTAACAGCTCTGCGCAGTGCAAAGTATGGGCTCTAAGGCACAGACTAGCTCCAGAAACAACCAGTCCACAGGGAACTTCTCCGAACTGGAATATTGCATTCCTGATTGACTCTGCCACCTCAGGAAATGAGTGAGGACAAGTACCGGGGGCCAGGGGCATTTATGTGTATTGAGAGCAATCAGGAGGGACTCACTTCCAAAACAAGTCTGTCTGACCCATATACATTTAACATACGTATGTCAGATACACAGCTGTATCAATGCCACTGCTGAGCCACCAGTTCAATACACAACTGGCCACTTGCTTGACGTCTGGGATGGGGAGGGTCTGTTACATAAAAAGACACTACTCACTGTTCCCCCTTTGTTCCTTTCTCTGCTTTGCCCTTCCTGGCATGGCACCACTGACTCAGGCAAGGGTCACGTTGATGCAATTAGAGGGTATTCAACTGGACCAATGCCAGCTTCTGCATAAATCCAAGAAAATAAAAACACAGGTTCAGGGAAGAGGGGTCTTGCGTTGGTTTAAGTGGAGGTATACTGCCTTCTTATATGTTATATAAAATAATAATGCCAAGAGAAGTGCACCGGGGCAATAGACAGCCTGTGGCTAGGGTGGCCAGATGTCTTGGTTGGGAGGAACTGTTCTAGTCTCCCAACCCCTTCTGTGGAAACAGGCCCTGGTTCTCATAGACTCCATGGCCATCTGATCACCAGATCACACCAACTGCCCTTCCTATGCTTCTGTTTTATATAAACAGCATTTCCTACACCCATTCGGGCAACTGCTGAGCACTCTCTTACTACTGCCGCTTCTCAGCTGATTGCAGAAGGAACCAAATAATAATCATCATCCTTGGCATTTATATCGGATCACACAGAGAGAAGACAAAGGCAGAGAAAGCTTTCAAGAGACAGAGGACATTCTAGGGGCTGGTCAAAAGCCCATGAAGTCAGTGGAAAGACTGCCATTGACTTCAGTGGGTTTGGGATCAAGTCCATGCAGAGAACATGGCGATAAAGAAAAAGGGTAGAGGTGGGCCTGGCGGAACAGGCTAGAAAATTTAATTAAGGATCTGGAAGTTGGTGAAAACAAAGGAGGAGCCTGGGGTAAAGGATGCTTTCTTCCACTCTTCCCTTTATGGTAATGTATTTTCATATGGGGAGGGAGGATTGATGGCTGAAGAGGGGAAGAGAGAAGGAAGGGTATCCTTTTCCCTCGTAGTTCAGCTCCCAAGTCCTCCCCTCCATGACAGGTGTCACTTTGGAAACCTGCTCCCTTACTCTGTAATGCTTCACTGGATGAGCAAGGTCTGTCTCTCTCACAGACATCTGAATTATCTACATAGGGAATCCCAAACAGCAGCTGGCAAAGGCATTTTGCACAGTAATGTCTAATACTCCCTCCTGAAAACATTCTGATAACTGCATTGATCTAAGCACAGGATCAGGCAAATGTTTCCGTAAATCAAGTTCGCTAGTGACACTTGGGAAGGCCCTGGTTTTAGGTGAAAGCCGAGCCACGGGAAATGAAAATGTGGACTGCACATAGTATTGAGGTCTTAAGTACAGGAAGTCCTGTGCTGGGATAATTCTTTGCAGCAGGAATGCGTACTGGGTATCACAGGGTGTCAGTTCAGAGGGAGATGGGGAACTGTTACGTTTTCAGCCAAGTCGTCCCTCAGGATTCTGTGGTTTTGAATCAGCTTGTTACGCATAATGTCAAGCTCTCCATTTTTAGAGATCAACAGAATGGGGCTGGCCAACGGAGAGGAACCTCCCAAGTCTCCTGACTGTTTACGGCAATCCTGATGGGGGTTGGGTTCAGTTATCAAAGGACAGTTTGTGTGCGTGTGGTAGATTGTCTCTATTACTCGCCGACATGTCTCACCTCACTTAGATCGTGTCAAACAACATGCTGAAGCTAGGAGGAAGTCAATGTTTGAAAGTCAAGGTGCAGGAGGGAATATCTTTTATTGGACCAACTTCTGTTGGTGAGAGAGACAAGCTTTCGAGCTGACACAGAATTCTTCTTCAGGGCTGGCCTGAGGAAGAGCTCTGTATAAGATGGAAAGCTTGTCTTGGTCACCAACAGAAGTTGGTCCAATAAAAGATATTCCCTCCCCCATCTTGTCTTGCTAACATTCTGGGACCTTCATGGCTACAACACCACTGCATACAAGTGTTAGAAAGTGTCACTGCTTGGGAGCTCTGTGTCTCCAGCAAAGTCAAATCAGTGCCAAGGCTGGTGTACATTTTTCAGACTGCAACAGTCAGCTCTACCAGGGCCTGGGCTGGGGAAGGGAAAGGTCTGAATTAGGATCTGTGTATAAACCTCACCCATAACCTTTAGCGGAGCTGTACACAGACAAATACATTCAGTTCAATAAAAAATCTGCAAACCTGAAATGGAAAAGAGGGAGACAGTGTGATGGGGAGGGAGGGAAGATGACGTGAGGAATAAGAAGGGATGGCAAGGTGAGGAGAGGATCCTTTATTTCTGCAAAGCAGGAAAGAAGCTGTTCATCGAAGCATGCTTTCTGAGCAGTGGCTGCTGACGATTTTTGTCTCCATTAGGATTTTGTCAGGGAGGGATCAGAAAGCCCCAATTTCAGTAGCCCAGGAGCGGCAGAGTCTGGAAGTTCCACCTCTGGTCCCTGGCCCCTGGGGAGAATCATTCAAAGCAGGAGGAGCTGTGTAAGAAGCAGGTGGTATGGGAACTCCAGGAGAGGTGGAGGAGAGCAGGAACGTTGCAATCTGGCTGCTCCTAGAGGTGGCATCTCTCAGGGCACCACTTGCTGATGGCACACTGGACATGGCACATGGGGTTGTTGATGTCACTGTGGGTCTAGCCCTCCGGGACGAAGAGGCCATCCTATTGGACATGAAGTTTCGGCGGGCTGGCATGATGGCACTAGGAATTCGGCGAACGGGAGCCCTTCTCATGGTGGTACTTGGATAAGCCAGGGGGGAAGCAGTCAAGACAGCTAGACCCGGGACAACCTCCCTCCTGGGTATTAGTACTTGATTGGCGGGGGCTGTGGAATTGTGGAGGAATGACCAGGGCCACATCTGAAAGGGCAGAAGGGAAGTGGCCATAGGCGAAGGCTCCATTTCAGCAACATAATTATTCAGGTGGGAGAGGAGTCGTAGCCGGATAGGATCAGCACCGTTTTGTTCCTCAAGGATACCAAGGTATCTGACAACTTCAGTGAGGCATTCACGGAAGCCGATACTCCTGTAATCCACAGCCAGGGCTCGGGCATCTAAGAACCCTGGGAGAAAAAGACATATATAGCAGCATGTCCACCAAGAGCACAGACAACTGATTTCACTACAAATTTTAACGTAATTGCGCATTTAACCTGAGGAATTTGCCGCCCCATGATATTATTGAAGCAAATAGCCGGGTGAGCTTGAAAAAAGAATTTGATATTTACAGGAATAAGACTAGCATCTGCAGTTACTCTAGCTAGGATAAAATGATCAGGGCCATCAATGTTCTTGGTTCAGGGCATAAACTGATCACCAGCCGGGATCAGGAAGTAATTTCCTTTGAATTCTGTCACTGGCTGCTACTGGAGGCAATATTCTGGACTAGCTGGGTCTCTTCTGGTATGGCCATTCCTAGACCAGCAGGTTGTGTGGTGTCTACTTCGCAATGGACAGCTTAATGGCCCCTCCCTGCATTTAGAGACAACTGTTTGACTCTGTTACTCATATTTTATTTAAACAGATGTCCAACTGGAGGATACGAGACAGTCTCAGACCCAAGACTATTGGCTCTAGAGGGCCCAAAGCCTTGGATTGTGGAGACCATCAATGAGGCACAATAAAACTACCAATTGTTCCTTCAGTCTCTTTCCTTCTTGGGCTTCCCGAGAGGATGGGCAATAAACCAGAGAGCGCAACCAGCATGGACAAAATACTGCACCACTTCACATTTTGGGGACCCTGTTGACACCATGTTTCAGCCTTGTAGCATAGTCAAGCTGAGTATTTAAACAATGTTTCCTAGACCATGATGTAACTCTGCTAAAGTCCACAGTCTAGTCCCATCTACCCAGCGAGACAGAACTGTGTTTTAATCGAGTCAGAGGTTTACTGTGTTGAAACTGAGATCCCCGCCAGAGTCACTGGGCAAGCGGAGAATGGGAACTTTGCTCTTGCGGACGACGTGTATCCCCTTGTGTGTTACAAACTGTTAGATGGGGGGGTGGAAAAAGGCATGTTTCTATGCCGAGTCACTAACCAGACTCCAGGCAGTGCCAGGAAATGTATCCCAATGGGATGTGGAGGAGGCAGACTTTGGTTTGGAAGCCAGATCCATTTGCAAGCATGACTAAGTGTGTAGCCTTGCCCGGGTCTGTGGGCATAGCTGTCGCTGTTCTGGGAGTTGGCTGCCTTTTCTGTGGTTACACGGGACACACCATATGGCACACCTCAGTCTGCCAAGGCCTAACTGTGAGACGCTGACCCATACGCAGGAGAACAAATAGTAGCACCGGAAGTGGAAAGTCTCCCCATGGGAGAGCCGCTTCCTTTCAAAAGCAAACACCAAATAATTTCTATAACCTTCGTGTTAATGATTTCTGGAGTAAACAACGGACAATAAGAATGGGACGCTGCTCTCAGAGTCAAGGGTGAATTTTCCTCCCCTCAAAAGAAATCCTGTCCCCCTGGGGGGGGTCAGTGGGAGTCTTGCCATTGCTTTTAATACAGCCGGGATTTCACCCTCAGTACACACGTTTACAGAAGCGGTTCTCACCTGTTCCTCCAGTGGCATGAAGCATTTTTAAATGGTCCACTGTCATTTGCAGGATCTCTGCCTTCTCCAGCTTGGAGGAGCCCTGTGTATTGAAAGCAGGGAGGGGCAGAGAAAGAAAGACTATCAATCCACTGTTTTAAAATCTAGGATTCCATCTCATTAAGGGAGCCATCAGCAAGGGGACCTGAACTTTCCAGAAATGGGCAGATGAACAGATTCAGGGTTTGGATTCAGACTCATCTCGAATCAAGTGGTAAGGAAAATGGATCTCCCCTCAAAAGATGCTGTGAGGCAAACTGAAAATCTCTGTTTCTGTTCGTCCCTGCTGCAGCTAAATGTCTTTTATTCTCCATAAGGTTTCCTGGAAGATTTATTACCACCCTATTTTACCACCTACTTATCCTCTGGGTGATAATAATTTAGAGTGTTTATGGGGTTTTCAACCCTGAAGAATCCTAACAGGATCTACAGACTGTATTTAACAATTACCCATCAGTGAAATGCAGACACCTCTGGGGTGGAATGCAGCAGTCATTGTGCGCCGTTGACATTACATAACACTTTGGAGCTGGACCAATGAAGAATAACATCTCCAAATGTAGTTGCAGAAGGAATTTAGGTAAACAGAATGGCATTACCCAAGTTACAATCTGAGCACGACTCTTGGGTTTAGCACCCCAACTGGGAAAAGTACCCTGAGAGGTTTGGGGCCTTTAGATAAACAGATGTTAACAGGGGACAAAAAGAAACAACAATCACATATGCCGGACATGTGACTTGGATTTCAGGAGATCTTTTCACAGAGAATGGGCAGGACCTTGTTTTTAGATCTCATCCAGAAGACAGCAGCTGCTTAAGCATTAGGGCAGCATTGGCGACTCAGAGAGAGGAATGCTACCTACTCCATCACCAGCATCTCTTTCTGCAGCACCAGCTGGTGGTCCTCAGATCTCCTACCCAAGCTCTGACCGCTGTCCAACTCAAACCCTGCTCAGCTAATGAGAGCTAATTAAATTAATGCCTAGGGTGAAATGGCTGTAAAAGCAAGATGCCTCCCAACCATTGAACCACAACCCTGATTTGGGCTGCCTGAAGATAATTTACTCTGCTGATATGACCCCTCTCTGAATGTTTGTTCATAAGCACCAGAAGGTCTTTTCTTTAACATAAGAACATAAAAGAATGGCCCTACTGGGCCAAATCAAGGGTCCATCTAGCCCAGTATCCTGTCTTCTGACTCTGGCCAATGCCAGGTGCCCCAGAGGGAGTGAACAGAACAGGTCATCATCAAGTGATCCATCCCCTGTTGCTCATTCCCAGATTCTGGCAGACAGAAGCTAGGGACACCATTGCCTTTCTTAAAACTATAAGCCCCTGGGGGGAAAATGGTCACGTCTAACATTCTTCACGTACCTGCTTCTCAAAGGCAGTGGGGACTAAACGCCGCAGTTCAGACAGGCTGCTGTTAATACGGTCACGGCGCCGTTTCTCAATGATCTACAAAATAATTCCATTCAGAGGAGCGTAGCTGGGCCCCATATCCCATAATCATTTTTAGACTTATACCTCCCATTTCTAGAATGCCTTCCATCTAGGGATCTCAAATTCTTTAACAAGCACTGGTTAATGGAGCCTCATAGCCCTCCATGGGGTACAGATTGTCCCCCATTTTTAATATCTACAATTTTAGATAGGCACTTTTCATTAAATGAAATAAATCAGTGTTACCAATGGAGAAACTGAGGCATGGGGGTGGGGGGAGTTAAATGACTTGCCCAACAACACTTGGGGTGGGATCCCAACCCCTATAGGGTGGATAAAAGGGCCAGAGCAGCATTAACATGCCCGACAAGCCCCAGTTGCCACTGAGGACAATTTCCCCAGTGAAGGCAGGGTGGAGGAAAAGCTGTACCTTCAGAGGACCCCATCACAAGGGACGTGCTAGACACAGGGCAGCATCATGCAGCCCTAGGGAGATTCCAGCCAGTGCAGGGTCCAGAGGGCAGCTCAGGGAGGATGCTGTGACTTAGGCCACCAAAGCTAAGTTATGCCTGGAGCCTCTCCAGGCCCCAGAAGAGCCCAGCCCCCAGAAGAGCCCATCCCTGGTGTTGTAGAGTTGGAAATAGAAGCCTCTTTCCTATACTGTTCTAACACTGCTTCTCCCTTGGGATATGGAGCTCACCTTCGTTAACAATAGAGATCCATGAGACAGAAGGGTTAAAACGGCCCATTTCTTTGCTGAACTATAGCTTACTCGGTAATGAGCATTAAAAACCTTACAGCATTCACATGTCCTCAATCTGTGCATGCCACTGACGGGCACAATATGGCTGTTAGGTTTTGTAGCATAAATGCTACTCACCCCTCTCCGCTTCTTCCTGGCTTGTATCTGAGATGTGGTGGTGGGAGAAACAGCCCTGGATACTTGGCTGTATAGAAAGAAGAAGAAGAAGAAGAAAAAAAGGGAGTGGGGAGGTGTTTCAGCTGCTGTCTATTTGTTAACCACACACACAGACTTTACACCCACTCACCACATGGGATTTCCCACGTAGAAGGGAGTCTTGAGATTTCTGTACCATTTTAAGCACAGTCTACTTAGAGCTAAGTAAAGCAGGAGGTGGCAAGGGGAGCTGGGCGGGACTTGGGATCTCTCCTCCCTGAAAATGCCCATCAGACTGCAAGAGATTTCTGGCAGGCCGTTCTGCTAAGAGGCATATACTGTCTTTTGGTATCAAAATAGACAGCATCTTCCTGACTTGTTGCAAAAGCAAAGATCTGATCTTTAGAGTCCCTGGTTTTCTCTGTTCTTCCAGATTTCAGATCTCTTTTATAAACCTGAAGCATTTTATACCATCATTGTGATAATGGATCTGAGCACCCACAACTCCCACTGATGTAAGGAGAAGTTAGGGAACTCATGCCTCAGGATCAGGCCTGGTGACAGCATTTATGTGGTTGGTCAGAGCTTTCCTGGATCATGCAATTATTTCCCTGAGAAGAACACTTCTTGCAGCTGCATGTTTGCTTCTCCTGTGACAGACATAAAGTTATCCCGGATTCCCCAGGGCAGTATCTGGTTACACAGCAAACAGCTGAAAGGTAAACTTTTAAACGGACAAAACCAGTTGCTCCCCATAATTAGAGGGACTGGAGCACCATAGAGATGGAGCTCAGCTGTGAAGGCGGAAGTAGGTGGAAAATGCCTCGTTACATTACTCAGCACAGTGATCACTGCCTGCCAATAGACAGTCCCTGAAGGCGCTGTTGTCCCCAACCAGATGTCACAAGCTGCAGTGTAGAAGCCCCGGAAAAAGAGATCTAGAATGGGAAAAACTAGGGGAGAATGCTCTTCAGACCTTTCATCAGCTGAGACCCAAAGGTGAGACAAAAGACCCAAAGTAATGGTGCAGGAAGCACAATACAAGGGGAGGTCAAATCTTTAATATAAACAACATTTTCATCATCTCACTGTTACAATTCTGCTGTATAATGCAGGAAAATAAATGCAGGATAAGAGCAGCTTTGCATGGGACATAGGTATGTTTGGATTTCAAAGGAAGCATATCCTTTAGAGGGACAGACAGTTAGAAGATGGGGGACTTCACGGATGTGGAACCCATGTGTATGTTTGAGAGAGAAGCTACAAAAGTCCTCTGCTTGACTTATCTCCCCTGGTCCTTGGGAGACTTTTCTCTCAACCCCAGCTCCTGAAACTGACCAACTGCTGGACTGTTCCTGCCTCTTGAGACATTTGAAGCAAAGATGATAAAATCTAAACACAGTTTACAACATTCTCCAGTACAGACATCCCAAGGGACCTGAAGAGCAAATAAGAAATATACGTCTGGAAAGGGGTTTGGGTTCACTCCATCAAACCACAATATTTTTCAGTTTGACAGAGCATTTTAATGGCAGAACCTGTTAAATAAATCTCTGTAGGCAGAGTGTGTTCTGCATAACAGGCCAAAACCTAGAATGAGCACGGTCCATTAAAAGTACATTTTGTTAGGCACAAGGTGGGGGGTTTCCAGAAGTTGATTCACTATAATTCTTCTTCCATATGGCAAGAGAGGTGATTAGCAACATTCAAATAACCAAGTCCACATTAGTGAGCCGGGGCAAGAGGGCAACCTTCACATGGTGCGTCTGTTATATGTTATTGATTAACACAATGAATGTCGTCAAAAGGCTACTGGACATGGATTTGTTGATCTCTCAGTACGAGTAACAATGTTTCACATAAATCACACACAATGACAAACTCTTACCTTAAGTACCATCTCATATACCCCATTTTTTGTAGTCTTTCCATGCCTGCTGCGTGTTTTCTCTGTGTCTATGTGTATACTGTGTTTGTGTGTGTGCATGGTGAGAGAGTGGACATGGGAGAGCATTTGCATGTGCTCACAGCAAGGAGTATTTACTCTTATTTGTACTGTTGTATGTGGGATTGTGTGTGTATATATGGTACAGGGATGTGATTTGATGTGCAGTATGGGTGTGTGGTGTATGTGTCCAATAGAACTCACTAACAGTCAGTTTGAATACCCTGAACCTCCATTTGTAGGAAAGTAGAAAGTCCCATTTTGTTTGAATGCATTGCTCTTTGCAAACTGCAGTTCCAGACACTGGACGGATGGATTTGGCTTACTTCAAAAGGGTTTCTTCCATTTGACTGAGGAATTTAAGGCGATTTGGTCTAAGTTTCTGGAGGACTATGACTGATACATTTCTTGTTGTCTGACTTTGTCATTTGTAGTATTGTTCAGCTGGCTATTTAATAAACAAAAATAATCACTTTCAATCTGTACCAACCTTCAGCTCAGGATCTCTGCCGTTTACAAACCCAAGTTAATTATGCTTTGCAATGCCAGCAGCTTATCCCCAAAGTCACACAGCAAATCAGTGGTGGAGTCGGGAATCAAACCCCAAACTCCTGACTTACTGTCCCAAATTACTCCAAGCTCTAGGCAACACTCCCCACTTGGCGGTGTTTCTCTTTGCCTGCTACATTTCTTACACTAGTACATTACTTAGGTTGTAAACTTGTCAGGGCAGGAACTGTTCTTTCGTTACGTGCTGGGTGCTGTACAAACACAATGGGGCCCCTACCCACCACCCACAGTATAATAAATAATATAACAATCATAATGTTATGTTTTACATCTTGCTTTGAAAATACATATTTTCAATTGCAACAGAGATCAACCCTATCTCTATGGTTGTTCCCTGACATAAATGATTGAGACGGTTCCACTACGTACTGTTATGTCCAACAGTGTGTTGTAAGACAGACTGTGGCGTTGTGCTGTATAGATCTGTGATGTGATATATGACATGTGCGTTGGGAGGGTGGATGATATACAGATACACTCCATAGTTGTGTTACCGCTGGATGCATGTGTGCTATGTATTTGTCTAACGCCACTAACGTGTGTTATGTGTTGGGTAAATTGCTCTCTGTTGCCTGTACGGTGCCGTGTAACGCTGAGTGCTAATATCAGCAAGTACTAATGTTCTTTAGGGCCTAATTCTGCGAGAACCTGAGCATATCCTGCTGAGGCACCTAGCAAGAGATGCTCACAGAATGAGGCCATGGGTGATTTCTGTATTCAAGCTATCAAGCAGCGAAGGGTTTATTTCTACGGGTGCACTGGGGGATACTGGGCTGTAGACATGAGTGTTCACATGCAACTGATGCATAAGACAGAGAAGAAAACAAGTTTCAGAGTGCTTTGCACATTCCTCCTCTGTCTGTTTCCACGGGCAGTGCCTGGGCTGCTGGCAAACAGATGACACAGCGTGGGAACACAGTGCTTTGAGGAACAGCAGCAAGGCTCCCTTAACATACAGAACTGCAGTGATCAGGGACCTTGCAAAGAATTAAAATAGCACCGTAGAGGGGGAAATCGCACAGGGCCAGCTCCTTTCCTTTAACCGTCTTCCCAAGCTGCAGAGTGCTCGAGCCTGAGAGGAACCCAGGTGCTGAAACTCAGCTCCCTCAATGGGTAATGTCCATTGCTAACATTATTTGGTTTGTACAATGTAAAAAACTCGTACCGCGGGAAAACCACAATCCCTCCCGCATTCAATAAAGAGCAAATGAACCTTGGCCTAACCGGGCAATGGGTGCATTATGACTCCACGGGCAGAGTGTCTAGTACAGGACAAACTCACTCATCCAAAATTCTTTGGGAGGTTTCAGATAAACAGCGCTGCAGATTATAGATACTGGCCCTTGCATTGGGGGAGCATACATAGCTGTCTCTTGGGGAGCTAGGAGCTCGGGTTAAAAAAGGTGAGATTATTCCTTTCCCTTAGCCATGATGGGAGAGTGGGAAATCAGTTGCATTAGCCTTAGTTTGGCATTTCCTCCAAGGCTGGCAGTTCACTATCCCTTCACTGGGGGCTGGGGTGAGTTTCTGTCCCTTGCTTTCCAGCTGTGAGGTTTATGATGATGATTAACCCTGGTCATTCGCACTTTCCAGCCCCAGAGCATTGCACAAATCATCCTCACACCCTCCCTGGCCATTCTGGGATTAGCCCAAATTTACAGAGGCGGGTCAGTCTGTGGCCCCAAGTGGGTGGCCTGGCTGAGATGGGACTCCCAGTGCTTGGCTCTGGAGCTGCTGGAAGGACCCTGCTGGGCTCTAAACCCACCTCCCTGGTGCATAGGTGCTGGAACTAGGGGGGTGGCAGCCCCCCACCCCCTGGAAGTGGCTTCCATCATCTCCAGGGTTTACAGTTTGGTTCAGGGGCTCTCAGCCCCCCCACTGTGCAAATTGCTCCAGCCCTCCCTGCCCCAGTGCACCCTGACCCCCATGCCAGCCCCCCCCCGCACTGCCCCTCCCATGTGCCTTTACCTGTCCCTCCTTACCTGTATTCCTCCTCTTTGCCCACGTCTATGGTCCCGTCCGACTCCGAGCCCGACCAGCTCTCCTCGCTCAGCCGCTTCATCCTCCGAGACAGCGGCGGGCAAACAGCCTCCCCGCACGTTGGGGTCTATGGGGGGGGGGTTGTCCCGCACGTGGGGCGATCGGGGGGTCTATGGGGGGGAGGCTATCCCGCACCCTCCCCGCACGTGGGGCGATCGGGGGGGTCTAGGGGGGGAGGCTATCCCGCACCCTCCCCGCACGTGGGGGCGATCGGGGGTCTATGGGGGGGGAATGGCTGTCCCGCACCCGCGGGGGTGGATAGGGTCCGTCGGGGGGGGGCGGAAAGGGGAGTTGGGAGCTGTCCCACCCTGGCCGGGCGCTGTGCGATCGGTCCCGTCTCCGCGGCCCTGCTCCCCTTCTGGCTGTAGGAAGGGAAGAGACCCAAGGCCCCCCCCGCGCCGGGCTGGGAAGAGGAAATCGCCCCCGACGCCTACGGGCAGCTCCTCCGCCCGCTCCCGTCCGGCCCCGTCTCGCTCTGCCCGGCACGTCCCTCGCCCCGCAGTGTCGGATCGCTCGGCTGCTCCGGCTTTCCCAGGTTCCCACTCCCCTCCCTGCCCCCGCCTTCCTGTCAAAGGAGCAGCCCGTGTGAACCGGCCCGGGCCCCCCCCCTTCCCCTCGCCCCCCTGCCCGCCTCGGTGATTGGTCCCCGCCGCGGTTTAAAGGGACCAGTGACCTCACTGGCAACAGAAAACCGTGGGAAAGCGATGGGCCTGATAAAGGCCTGGCTTGTTGCAGGGAAAAATCAACATCCCGCCCCTCACGCACAGCCGTCGGCGGGGCTCCAGCGGGTCCGGAGCCCTGGGATTCAGATGCAAACCAGCTTGGCCTAAGCTCTGGGCGGTTTTCAAAGGGCAGAGGCTGGGCTGGTGCTTTCAGTCCTAATCAGGTCATAAGAACATAAGAAGGGCCAGACGGGGTCAGACCAAAGGTCCAGCGAGCCCAGCCTCCTGTCCTCTGACCGGCCAACGCCAGGTGCCCCAGAGGGAGTGAACAGAACAGGGAATCACCCGGCCATCCCTCATGTCAGGTGCCCAGGACTGGAGCTCCAGCAGACTCTGGGGCTGAGACACTCCAAACCCCATCTAGCTGCAGTTCAGATCCGGTATTCTTCCCAGCCCACTCTCCCTGCCCCACCTCTCTTGGCTTGCAGCTCTTCCTTCGTGACACTGGGGCCCCGATCCTCAGAGGTACGTAGGTTCCTAATTTCCATTGCACTCATTGGGAGTTAAGAGCCTAGCTCCCTACCCTTTGTATTCTCTTGTGAAAAACCACAGGCCCCCGTGATAAATGGCTTTTTTCATCTCTTCTTGGCCACCTCACCTGCACTCTGCCCTCTAACCCTGCGCACTCTAACCTCTCAAATCCTTGAACAGCTTCCAAGCAGCTGCTATTAAAGCAAAGAAACCTGCCAACTAATTTCTACCTTCTTTCCTGCAAATGGGGCCTTTCCTCCAGAATTACTCAGCGTACATCTCAGATCAGTGTCACATTCCACAGAGCTGGGTGGGGGATTATTTTCCCCCCTCGTGGAAGTTTTTGATATTTTGGAAATTGTTCCCACCCTGAATTGGGACCTAAAGTCAAAATCTCAAACATTTTTGGCCACTGGGGGAAAAAAAACCAACAGTTTGGGTCAATCAAAATGTTTTGCCTCAATAATTTTGAACTGGTGTGTTTTCAATTTTGACCCCCCCCCCTTTTTAAAACTATATTTTAGCTTAAATTTGAAAACAATAAGCTGTTTCAAACTGGAAAGCCAGACTGCTTCATTCTAAAAATGTCAAAATGAAACATGTCAACAATTTTAAAACTTTTTTTTTTTTTGAGTAGAACAATACATTGCAACTGACCTGCAAAACGCTTCATTTCTGATGATTTGGCATTTTCTGATGAAAAAAAGCACAACATTTTATGAAAAAATTCCCAACCAGCTCCATTCAGGGCTGATTTAAGGTTTGGTAACTCATGAACCATTCAGAAGAGGAACCAGGGCTTCATTCCGACAGAGAGGAGCTGGGATTCCCCACTATCCAATGGGATAGAGTATTTGTTTCTAGCCAGGATAAATTGGGAGGTATGGGCCCTTAAAAGCATGACACAAGTTACAGAAAAGCTCTTTTCATGAGGTTTCTAGTTGTACATTTTCTCTCTACCTGAGGCTTGGGCATCTAGACTCATGTTACTACAGCCCTTGGATTTCTATGCAGAAGGATATGAAAAATAGTGCACCAAACTTTTTCAAAACTCTCCAAACCAGGCAGTACATAAAAGGCATGTCATAAACAGAATGAAGAAGGGTGTGCTGTCTCATACAGGGTCCCTTGCCCCTTCTTTGGGTCCATCTGCATAACTCACTTATGATTTACCCACTCACAAGTAATGATGTAATGGCAAAAGAAAATGTCAGTCACCAGTGGTTGGAACAATTTGCAGCCCTCTCACTCCTAGGAATATCAGCCCTAGGATGGATATCGTGTTACTGCTTTGAACGCTAGTTCAGTTACTGTCGTCTACATGGCAATCCCATATCTAATTAGGTTAGTGCCAGGATATACGGGGGAATCTGTCTCACGCCCTGCTTTCTATTTCAATGGGCTATAGAGACAGGTTGGGTTATTTCAGCACCCTTGTTCATTCAGTCCTGCATCCGCGTGTCCCATCCTGCCTTGGAGGGCCTCCCTTCTGGGTAAGAAGGGAATTCACCCTCCATGCTCATTCATTCCTGGGCCTTCTCTAAGCATCATTATCTGGGTTCAATCGTAGAGTAATTGGCAACATGTTCTTCTAGGATTACTCTTCATTATGGACGGAGCAGAGGCCATGAAAGTCACTTCTCTTGTAATCAGATCCCTAGTCTAGCCTGTGCTCCTGGAGAGTAATTTATAATCACTCCTGCTAAATCGTTGGGGATTGTTAGAGTGATCCGAGCCACCCCAGGATTAGCCGCTCTGTAGAACAGCAGGAAACAGATACTGTGCTGAGCCCACTCACAGCTGGGTTCAATAGAGACTACAGGGAAAGATTACGGGGAATTAGCTGCAGGACAGGGGGGTGCAGGTGTAAATAACTATTGTTCCTTTGTCTGGCTAGGGAGTGTGTGTAAATGTACACACTGGACACACGGAGAAATCAGTGAGGGGTCTGAGGTGAAACACTTATTTTGCTGTCCACTCCCGGTGCTTTCGGTGCTTTCTTTTGTGCTGTTTTGAGCCAGGCTGGGTAAGATTCCCACCAAGGCTAAGAAGAGAACAGAAATCTGGCTTTGCATACTGTTCCTCACCTGTGGGCTAAGGATCCACTGGCTCAAAACGTCTTTTGCTGCTATTAAATGGCTAGTTCGAGTCACTAAATCATGAAAAATGCCTCCGACCACTACTGACCTGCTCTTATCCATCACTATAGGGGCCTGCCACCTCTTTGCCTGCAATAGGGTGTATTCAAGGAACGCGAGCTCTTGGAGTTCCCAGTGTCTCTAGAAGAGAAGTGGATTTGTGAGAAGCTCGTTCCCACGTTCAACAGGACCGTAGACAAAAGGAGATCAGCGCAGCTCATTACGAAGCTCTTAGAACTCCATACGCCAGCAGAATAGAAGATTAGTCAGAGTTTTCGACAACCTGCCAGAGAAGAAACTCAGTCACCAAGGCAATGAGTTTTCCTGGCTCATTCCCACTGCCAGGCAGGTCTCTCGTCAAACTTTTGAACTTTCAGGTATGGGAGCAGCTTCCCCTGATGTTTTTAGGAACTTCTCCTTCCTAAATGCTCTTCCCTCTCCAGTGACTTTCCTCATTTCACAACCTATCCCGGGTGTTTCTAGAGTGCCCATCACCATATGATCCCTGGCCCCACCTTGTGCCTCTCCCGCCCCCAGCTGTGTGGCAATGTCCCATGTGTATTGGCTCACCAAGACCACCATTGCGGGGTCACCATCTCAAAAAAAAATCTGGTTTTAATTGTCCATCAAGACAGCAATACAAGTGACCTCACAGGTAAAGGGAGACCAGTGTTAGAATTGCTCATGAAAAACCCTCATTTTTAGGGGACTTAATGTCTCAGGGAACTGGCCACAGAATACGGAGTCCTTCACCGCTATCTCTAGTGCATATTGGGATTAGGTGGGTAGTAACAGTCAGTGTTGCCCAAGGTGAAACAAGTTGTTGATTGTAAGTTCAGTTTCTAGGGGATGGGTAGCAGCAGCATAGAATCTACCCATCAATCACAACCGGCTCTAAATAGCAAGCCCATTTCCAAGGCCAGAATGCCAAGGAATGAAGAAGCCACCAAGATGCATGACCCCCCCTTGCTGGAGAAGTAGAAGTAAATGATTCCAACCCCCAGGACTTTTCAAGCTGGCACCTTTCGCTGGCACTACAATTAGACAAACAAACCAGCCATAGCTTTGGGATTCCTGCCTCCCCTCCTCCCCCCCTTCAGCTCTGGGAAATGTCCCCAGAGAGCTGCCAGCTGTGAAAAGCTGCAGCAGCTGGAATGTGGGAGTGAGGGCAGAGCTGATGGAAATAAAAGAGGGGGCAAGCAGAGCATATCTGTTACCTTCTGGTGAACCGACACCTCCGGTTTAACCCCGTACATGCCTGGAATACCCTGTCCACACATCTTCTGTCAACATCAACTCCTAACCTCAGGTTCCACCATGGACTGCCAGATCAACAGCTGTAATGTCAAGAGTGGGGGCCTCACAGGGGTCTTTGGGACAGGATTCCTGGCTGCAAGCATGGCATCATGGTGGGGAAACTTTCTTATTCAGTGCTATTCGTGTTCTGTGGCTAAACAGGCCTTCATGGGAGCTGAGAGAAACAGACATCTGAAGAAGTGGGCTTTTTACCCACGAAAGCTTATGCCCAAATAAATCTGTTAGTCTTTAGAGTGCCACTGGACTCCTCGTTGTTTTTGAGAGGAAACATACAGGCTATTAGATGATTTTTGGATGAAAGTTTTCTTGAATGGACAAAATTTAATCTCTGTGTTTGGTCAGGTCTGGGACACTGCCAGAGGGAGATTGCTTACAGTGACACAGATCCAGGGACGCTCAAAATGTTAAACTCCCACGGCCCACACACCAACACAGTATGGAGAAGGCACAGTAAACTATCAGAGA